GTACAGGCTCTCGTCTACCAATGTGAAGGTAGTGGGTTCGAATCCCACACCCGGCATTTCATCAGCCGACTATTTTTATTAAAATAAAAATAGTTTGGGTACCTAGGTCGACTCAGCCTTAAATGAGTATTTGGGATTCACAATCCTGAGGTAATAATAGGCGGTTGAAGCGTAGTGCTAGCCACATTACCTTCCTTGTATGGCAAGCTGTATCTTGCTACTCCCAAGGCGTTAAACGCTATATACGGGAGCTATTATTATTATTTTTTTTTAAATAAACTTAGTCTCCAGTGAGTTTATGGCAAATAAAGGATTGAAACAGGGTTGCTGTCTATCACCAACACTCTTCAAAATATTTTTAGAAAAGACGCTGCTACAATGGAAACGGAAATGTAGCCATATGGGTATCCAACTAAACGGCAACACCATCTATACATTAAGTTTTGCAGATGACCAAGTAGTACTGGCGCATTTGGAAAAAAGCTAATCGAAAAATACAGCAAATGGGGATTTTAGATAAAACGGAATACTTGGGACTCAAAATTTCAAGAGATCGCACTCTGGATAAAGCCATTAGGGACAGAAACGCTCAGGGAAGAAAGGAAGAAGATCTCTATGTTAAATGGCGTCTTGTGGGGTAGTAACATCTCTAAATCTAACAAACGTCAAATATAAGGCACAAGCATCGTTTGCTATGGCACCCTGGAAGCGACAGAAATAGATTTCTGGAGAGAATGGGGGTACGAACAACAGAATTCGAGAAATTATGGTAGTCAATCAAACAATAGCTGATGACATAAGAACATAACATAAGTTAATATGGTATGGACACATACAAAGAATGTCAGAGGGGAGGCTTCTAAAACAGATCCTCAACTAGACACCAGGGGGACGACGAAAAAGGAGTAGACCACTAAGACCATGCAAGAGCTGGAGAGAAGGAATAGACAATAAGCTAAAAGAACCAGAGCTCGAAGACTACCTCTGGCTAGATAGGGAGCAATGGCAACTGGACATCGGAAGACGTCGAAGAACGTTTTAAAACCCATTATATATTTTGTTTTTACACTCTGAGTATGTGTTTTTATGTCAATGATCAATACCTCAGCAGATTCAAGCTAAAAAAACAGCGAATGCAGAATCTGTGGGGAAACTGGGGAAACACTAGACCACCCTAGACGGCAACCAATCATTCCATAAACTATGGAACAACTGATATCGAAGATGGAGAACTAACCTCTGTAAAACCGTCTCTGATACTGACTTTTGTCAAAGCCCTGAGACTATATGATGAGTTATATATACGTATGCGTTTCCCATGTCAGTCCTCTGTCCAAAGGTATATCTAAATTTCTCACGTCCTTAGACTGCGGTATTTTTATTTGATTTAATTCTACTTTCTGGACAGATTTCCCGTCTTAGGGTGAAAGTGACGTCTTCGTTTCATTCACTTTTATCCTCAAAATTTTAACCAATTTGGTATTCCAATTTCAAATTAGTTTATTTTCTCGGGAAGAGGTATTAAATTTTGATCCGCTACTGTTTGCAGGCTAGGCGTATAAATCTCATTCCTGCGCCTGCTGAAGAATCTCCAGGGGGCTAAATTAACAGATTCGGGCCTTACGGGGCTGACCTCCCTATTATTTTAATCGGATTTGGGAGCGACTACTGCGAGCGGATATCACCTGCAAAATTGCAGGATTTTATCGCCAGGCCAAATCGTCCGGGTTAATATATCGAGGGTTTACGTTAAGAGGCTTTATGAGGCCCGGACGGTTATCAGTATACGCCGACCGGTGGGCTTAAACAATTATTTAAAAATATTCCCCGTTATTAAAATTATTCTATATCAGGGAATATGGGGTAAGACAGTAATAAATATAGTATGATTATAAATGAAATTTAATTAATATGATAATAAATATCTGATCAACGGTTTCTTGTAGACGTATCTGTTTTAAAAAAGTAAAGTTTTCTGGAATAGTTGAATTTAAATATTTTAAATAGTTTTTTTCTTTATTCTTTGTATTTTTTTTGCTACCGACGACGGAAAGACATAACTTTCCGAAACGTTAAGCATTTTTTTCTTTGTTAGGCAAATTTGTATTACTGTAAACATAACTTCTGGCAAGCAGCGTCCGTTTAGGTTTAACGCAGAAGTGTTTACAAAAAATAACTATTTTATTTTGTAGATTTTCTTGCAGTGCAGTTGCCGAAATACCCATAAAGGATTTTTTTGGAGAGATCAGGAATGTTTCTTGAAAAGAACTCTGGCTTTTGAATAATAACAATAAATAATAACCTTTAATTTGACAAGAGTTTGTCAAGTTTCAAAAATCTTAAGTCGCGTTCGTCTGCATCTATATGTCAGTGCGTCGCTCATAGTCCCATGACCTGTCATTTTTGAAATAAACCAAAAAGACTGGATGTGCATTTCGTTGTTTCAAGTGCCTTTAGAACTATATTAGGCTACTGGTCAATTTTACTAACGCCTTTACAGATCTATCATCTTCTGCTTCTAATATCTAGGTTACACTCTCCAATCATATCCTTTTGAAAAGGACTGAGTAAGTACTACTAGACTAGCGTTTTTTTTAATTCTAAATCATTGCCTAATACAAAGGACAGCACTGACTCTTTGCACTGACATAAAATTTCGTTTCCTGACCGACTAAATCTGGACATGGCTTCACATATCTTCTTTTAGTTGCTCTTTGCTTTTCAGCTCTCTTCCGCAAAATTTGACGTGTGTTCTTCTATGAACTTTTTTGTCTGTCCCTGTCCTAGTGATTTTTTTCACCAATCTAGGGATTTGTTGGCCACGTACTGCACGTTTTATGACCATTTTCCTTATTGTTTTTGCATTGGCGTATATTTTAACCAAACCTTCTTCGAAACAATCTTAAAATATTACTCAGTCTATTCATATCTCATCTGGCGGTCGTGATTTGTTTGTGTTCGACTTTTTGTACCTCGTTTAGTTGAAAGTGAACGTGAAAGAAAGTAAATTGGCTGCTAGTAGTACCGTAATGGACTGAGAGCCGCCGCTATACACGCTTGTCGAGCAGCCTGATGAAAGTAAATTCTGAAGTATGTGCTGCAGACATCGCTACGATCTGTTTGGTTTTCATTCTCTCTCCAAAAAAAGGAGTTCATGTTATATTAATTACGAAGATTTGTTCTGATAATGACTTCTTAATTCTTGTAGAGCTCAGAGAAATTGTAGAGAGAAACAAGCCCTATAACATAGGATACAACATTTTAATGAACAGTGCTTTCCATAAAACCAATAAAATGAAAAATATACGAAATAATATAATATTCTTTCGAAAATCGACAACTATGAATCTATGAACCCTTCCCGGACACAAACGGTATATTGTGAGACAGGAAATTGTAGAGAGAAACAAGCCCTATAACATAGGATACAACATTTTAATGAACAGTGCTTTCCATAAAATCAATAAAATGAAAAATATACGAAATAATATACATGTACTGATTTCTTTCGAAAATCGACAACTATGAAACTATGAACCCTCCGAATAAGCTCTAGCGAATCCTAGATGTTTCCATCTATTTCTCCATCTACTTTTAATCCTTTTTTGATCGAGTCCGGGACAAATTCCAGTATAGGACAAATAAAACTATAGATATTCACAATATTGAGTTGTTAAAATTACGAATTAACAGTATTATCAAATTGTCAAGAATTTTCAAATACTGTTAATTATAAATTCTAGATCTATAAACTATACTCTCATATCAGCAGCACTTAATATAAATTTATTTATAATTTTTTGACAATTTCTACCAAAAAAACACAACTTTATAATGTTGGACTAATTTTAGAACTGGAATTTATTAAAGTGCCCATTAATAAATCCAACCACTCACATTTGGTTCTCGTTTGTCTGCTTAAAGCTCATAAATGTCAGATAAACTACCTACGTCTTACGTAACGTACACCTTTATTAAAAGATAATAATAGCAATCGAGATATATTAAGGAGATTGCCTTCTTTCATCTTCTAAATGATTGATTTATATCAAAAAACTCTCAAGGGAGTTCATCTCGATCATAATCTTGTCCCTATTTCGGTAGAAAATAAAATCCAAAATAATATGATTATTGAAAAATAGTTTTTTACGTGTAAGTAAATTAGTTATCAATAAAAGAAACATATTAAACAAAATACACAAGATGTTTTACTTTGAAAATCACTAGATCTTTTCTGGGTTGTCTTTTTTGTAAAGTTACTTTTTTCTCAAGTGACTTATATGTTATAACACATGAGTGCCGTCTTTCTTCTTTATGTACCGTCCCCATATCGGAGGTTGGCTATCATCATTGCTATTTTGACCTTGAAAGCGGACGTTTGGAAGCTTGACCGCACGTTTGTTAATTGCTTCCATTTTTGAAAATGTTTGTATTATTTTTCATAAGTTTTTCATATTTAGTTTTGAGCCATTTTTCGCTCGAATTCAATCAGCAACCGACACGAAAGAGAATTAAAAAATATTGACTCAAAACTGACAACTAAAGAGACAGCTTTATTTATTTGTCAAATTACATAGAAACCAACGCCAACCCAGCTCAATATTTTTTCTACTCCTAATAAATTCCTTGAAATAATAATTTCTGAATATTTTTTAAAACGTAACTCGCTATGGAAAAAAAATATTGTTTTATACAGGACGATAAAATTGCATTATCGTAATACCATTTTATCGTCTTGTATAGAAATAACTATTTTTTGCCCCTAATAAAACAATATACTTTTTTCTCAGGATGCCCATTCTATTTCTCAGCCTCATTAACATGTTAATTACCTACATATTACATGATGTTCACCGATCACTTCCAATATTCATCACTATTTCCGTTTGAAATATTTTCGTGGCGAATTCTTTGAGACGCTTCACGAATTCCTTTCACTGTTCCGAGCCCCACCTATACGCCACTATAAAAGACAAATGTTCGGAAATCAGATCATCAGTGCGGTTCAAACTTTCTTTAAGCATTTCACTTCCTTATCCGTTACACCGTACGAGATGAAGGCGATTGTGAGTACCTTTTTTACACCATTATTGTAATAGTGCGGCGAAAAAAAAGCAGTGTGATATCAGTTGTGATCAAAATATATATCGTTAAGTCGAAAGAAGTCAGAAAAGTGAAAAAAAGTATACAATCAAAAAAAAAGAGCGTCAAAGAAGGCTGAGGATTGACAATCGGTGGTAATTTTGGCGAGGTCAAGCCATAGACGTCATTTACTTAGCCTGTACTCTTTATTTTTTAATGGAACTTACTGCCAGTTGGTCTTAAGAAGGTTGTAATATTTTTTTTTCAATTTTTAGTAAATGACGTGAAGAGAAATTGACCCCACCAAAATTAACATTGATTGTAATTCTGCAGCCGTCTCTGATGTCTTTTTTTTCGATCATACGGTATAAGATTTAAGTGCTCTACAAAATCTTTTTGTATTTTTTTTTTATAAATAAAACAGTGCTTGTATCAATGTCTTTGTAGTAATAATACAATGAGAATTAAAAATGTACTAAACCGATTAGGTACATGAAATTTTACTTAATTTTTTGGCAAACTGATGACATACCGGGTGTTTTTTAAAAGTGGCTCACCTCTATAACATTTTTATTTTTTTCAGGATTGATTTATGTATTCAAATATTTTCGGTCACTTCCTGTTTCACCGAAAATGACTACAACTTTTTATTTTTAAGTGGAACCCTCGGTATATTCTTACTTTATTTCGATAAAAAATGACACTCTGAATATGTGAATGACATATATGCTAACTTTTGACATTTTTGTTTAAAGAATAGTATCTTTAATTTCAATCTATAGAGTGCTAATGTTCATAACGACAATTTGGCTCGAAATACCAAGTATACTGTTAAAACTTATTCTATTAAGTATTAATACTGTTAAGTATTATTTGTTAAAAAATGCTTTTTCCAAATATGCTAATGGGGTATCTATCAAAAATATCTCTCAAAAGACGATTGGGAAATCTATTAACCTGCCAGGAGACGCCACAAAAAAACATTAGACTATGAAATGTATTTTTCCAAGACTACTTGATTAAAAAATTGTGGTTTTAACACAGCCATAGCACTCTAGATTGAAATTTAAAATACTATTTTTACCTAAAAATGTTAAAAATTGTCAATCTATGGTCAGAATCTTATTTTCTATCAAATAAAGTAAAAAAAACATCGAGAGTACTTTTAAAAATCAAAAGTTATAGTCATTTTCGGTGAAACAGGAAATGACTGAAATTAATTGAATACGTCAATCAATCCTAATTACTGTCAAATACTAACATACCAAAAAATCTCGTTCTTTTATCTGAAAGTATCAAAAAAGAAATAAATGGGTGAAAAACCTTTCAAAAACACCCTGTATATTGTGATTAAAATAATTTTATCCGATGTTTGGAATTAATAATGTTATTTATATCTTAATAATCTATAACTGGCAGAACAGCTTTCGCTGTTTTAGATGAAAGTATTGTAGAAAGTGACTTTAATATAATTTATAACAACTTACAGATGTGCTTGTTTACTTAATTCATGTTCTATTCAAGGAATTAAACTATTATTATCTATAATCTATCATTATTTATCACTAGTGGCTGCTTGAGAAAAAAAAAATTGGTTACTCTGTTACTCTTTTTTTATTTATATTTATTTATCGAATATGAATGCCTTCGAAAAAATGCCTCTTGGTAAAAATCGCTACGAGTAATTGTTTTCGAGATATTTGGAATCGAAATTATCAGTTCCTGTCATCATTGACACAATTAAATATGTCGACTAAATAGTTATTAATAAATAATATTTTCTTGCCTTTAGCTATGTATTTTTTTCTAATTTCGAAAAATCGAAAGTAGAGAAAAAAAATCGGTGAGATCCAGTCCCTGGACAGCCCTCCTGATGAAGGGTAGGCCCAGAAACCGGTTGAGGGAGTGGAGCTTGGTTCCCCCTTTACGACAAGCAAAAACAATATTCTCTTTACTTTTTATTTTTTTTCTCTACTTTCGATTTTTCGAAATTAGAAAAAATACACAGCTAAAGGCAAGAAAATATTATTTATTAATAACTATTTAGTCGACATATTTAATTGTGTCAATGATGACAGGTACTGATAATTTCGATTCCAAATATCTCGAAAACAATTACTCGTAGCGATTTTTACCAAGAGGCATTTTTTACGTAAAAAACGTCGTAAATGTATATTTTTTTACTCAGTAGTTTTATACAGGTACGGACGAAAAGTTATTACTCTTCAAACCAGTTAAAAAATATGTTGGTGACGCCCTCTACTAGTAGGAGTCATATTGATCAAAATCAAATTTCTCATGTCAAAAAACTCCAAGACACCAATTTTCATTCAAATATTGACGTTATTTCAGAAATTATTTGGAAAAAATCGAAATAAAAATGAAACTTCTACACCCTGTATCTCTGAAACTAAGCATTTTAGCACATACATTTGTACGAACTTTTTACTTATTTTTATCTACAGAATATGCTGCTGAAGTTTCGGGAATACAGTTTGGACCACCCTGTATATATTCTTCTACTATTTCCATATTATATAAAGATCTTAAATAAGTTAATTCTCAGTGAATTTCATAATTGATTGGTTTAGTACCTCTAAACAACAGAATAAATAACAAATAACATAAAATAAACCCAGACATACCTAACAAACTGGCAACATTTCAAATCTAATTCAAATGTATCCTTTCAAAAATCAAACAAAACTGTAAAAAAATGGATGTAAATGAATACAATATATAGCATCTTTTTATTCAAAAGTACTAACATACCTATTCCCGTTTATTTTTTCCAGAGTACCTCCATTTTACTAGCTCTGGCACTCAGTTCCGTCCAAGCCGGATATGCAGAGAGCGAAGGTCATGACCTTGGAGGCGGCGGTGACATCAGCGGTGGAGGCAGCGCAGAAGGCTGGCAGGGAGGGTGGGAGTCAAGCGGAGGCGGAGGAGGTGGCGGAGGTGGTTTCGAGTACCACCAAGCTCCCACTAAAACCTTCGAGCACACCAAGGCCGTACCGGTTCCCGTCATCAAAAAGGTCGGAGTTCCTGTTCCACATCCTGTAGGAGTCCCCGTACCACAGGTGGTGAAAGTACCCGTACCTCAACCTTATCCCGTTCACATTTCAGTACCTCATCCAGTCCCTATCCCGATTTACAAGCTGGTACCTCAGGAAATCGAGAAGAAAGTACCGATTCACGTTGAGAAATTGGTTCCGGTTTATATCAACAAGCCTTACAAGGTCGAAATTGAGAAGCATCACCCGGAATACGTTAACAAGCCTTATCCAGTGCATGTTCCAGTGTACAAACACATCTACCACGAGACCAAGCACGAAAAATACGTAGACCACGGCGGTAAAGGTTGGTCGAGATAAGTTCTGGAGACTTTGGACTGATTCATCATCATTAATTCCTCTATCTAAGTCATTCATCTGTCCTCTATCCTATTCCCCATCACCTTGCCATCGTTTTTTGTTATATTATTATGTATTTTTGTTATTTTTGTAGATATTTTTGTTATATAAAAACGAATTTGAAAAATAACGGCTTTTATTTTTATTTTACCTTAATTTTGGGGTTTAGGACACTATAATCTGTTTTATCAACAGATGATCGAGATAAATAGGTATCATTCATGACAAGTAGATGACAACGTACAGTCTTAGGGCTTTGACAAAAGCCAGTATCTGAGACTGGTTTTGCAGAGGTTAGTTCTCCATCTCCGATATAAGCTACTGGCACGAATGGTTGTCGTGTTGGGGCATTCAATGATGAGATCTTCTGGTGTTTTCTTATTTTCCCTACAGAATCTGCAATCGCTGTTGTTTCTTAGCTTGAATCTACCGAGTGTTCATTGAAGAGACAGTGTCCTGCTACAAAACCCCGTGATAATCCAAAGATTGTTCTTACTTAAATCAAGAAAAATCTTTGATGGCAAGTTGAGCTCAACTGATATTTCATTATAATCACCAAAATATTCCCATTTAATTCAAAAATACCTGTATCTTATTAATGACACACTTGTATCTCAGTTGTAGTTAAGGAGTTGATATCTAGATTATCATAAACATCATAAACACACTTCACTAACAAAAAATATCGGAAATGAAAGACCAAATCCAAAAATTTGACGATAAAAAACAAGTTTTGGGTAAAATTGCAATGAATGATGTTTTCCTGCAAAAAGTGCCAATATAGAAATTCATAGAGTTCTACAACTGAAACCTTATTATTAAATTAAATGGTAAAAATGGTAAAAAGTTGTATGCTAAAAAATGTTCTTTTGGACATGGTTTAAACAAGAATTTGAATGCATTCTGTAAAAGAATATCTATTTTATATAGTTTTTAACAACACACTATCAAAATGTTTTGCGGTGGATATTTTCTTGCTTCTTTTAGAGTACTATTAGATCAAATATCTTTATTTTGAAAGCTGGCAGTACTACGATAACTAAGATAGTGAAATTTGGACCTTGAAACCAGAAGAATTCAAATGAAACTCTCCTAATTTTATTTTCACACAGACAAATATGATATAACATCTCTTTTTCCTTTAATTTATGAAAAGTTTCTTCAATAAAACCAGTTTTAAACGAATTATTTAAATAAATTCAAAAATCTAAGTCCGTTTACTCAGTAAATCAAAGAATGCCATCTGTTACTCTTAGATACCGGAACTTTCACTCTTACTCATTGATACACAAAACCCAGGAAGCAATAATATCAAAATTAATTAAAAAACTCTTATATACTTTCTTCTTCTGGGCATAATTGATATAAATTAAGAATCACAAGCTTAGTTCTTTTTCTAAAACTACTTTCACGGCATCCTTACAGAATGCCGTATAATATTTTTTCCTGAAAAAAAAACCTTCAATAATATACAATCACTTTTACTTTGTTGTCGTTAAAAAAACGTGCTTTTTTTTCTATGTATGTAATTAGGACATATAATTATTTAATATTTTTTTACGTAATCGGTGTATACAAGAAGTTGTTGATGTTATTCCGTTGACCTTGATGCAAAATTGAGTGAAAGTATGTGTAACTGTATTTATGGATGAAAGTAGAGTCAATGGACTTGGATTTTTTGTTCTTTCCGGTAATTTTAGCAAGTAATTATTCATGGAAGCTAAAAGTAGTTGTTTGGATGAGGTAAAATGTATATGGCATTGTATTTTTTTTGTTATTAATGGATAATGGAGTATCTTTAGGAAGTTTTTTAAGTCTAAATTAGTATAGAAAGTAGAATGGTGTGATTGAAAGAATTTCTATGAGATCTGCATTATATTCTTCTTTACCTGACGAGTTAATTAAAAAGTGATTGTTATCTTTCGTCAAGACTAATCAGGAGATCTTTAATTATAATATTATAATTTATTATAGGTCATTAAATATCTAAGATAGATCCTTTCACATTGTCTGAGTGTTGGAAAAGGAAATTATTCTAATTAAACATTAAAAAATGTCTATACCTCTATGGCGGATTCATCTCTTCAAATAAGTCCTAAGTATGGGTATTTCGCCATTGTAAGACAATCAATGAAGAAGGAAATTAAAGATAAAGGATTATACTATATCCGTATTGTAGCACATTTTTAAACAACTTCTTTATTTTTAAGATTATGATGGTCAAACAAATCAATGATCAACAAAATATTCCTTATGTATGGACTAAATTTTCTAGAAAATAAAGCCATAATTTAAAATTCCGTTACAAAATGGAAATAGATTGAAGTTTTGTGATTACAGTGATATATAATTTAGATGGTTTTGTAACGAATTGCTCGCTGTTTTATGGCAAACGCTGAAGCTCTGCAAACCTTAATCAAGCCTTAATCAAAGCAAGTGTGTGTTTGGAATTTTGGATGTGGCTTAATATGACAGGATCGGGCTAAAACTTAGGCAGGTTTCTGAAATATAATATATATTTCCTTAGGCCACATACCCCCTTTACTCGACCCCTGAGCACGACCCGAAAGTACAGCGTATAATAGACTCAACGTTTCGGGAAGTATATCTCTTCCCGTCGTCGGAAGTAAAGAAACACAAAGAACAAATAAAGAACTATTTAAACAAAATCACCAGATTCCTGCAGTGGCAAAATCACTAGGTCCCTACAGTGGCAAAATCACCATGCCCCTGCAGTGGCAAAATCAGTCTATGCAGTGGCGAAATCGGCAGGTACCGGCAGTGGTAAAATCACCAGGTCCCTGCAGTGACAAAATCACCAGGTCCGAGCAGTGGCAAAATCACCAGGTCTCTGCAGTGACAAAATCACCAGGTCCCTGCAGTAGCAAAATGACCAGGTCTCTGCAGTGGCAAAATCACCAGGTTCCTGCAGTAGCAAAATCACCAGGTCCCAGCAGTGACAAAATCACCAGGTTCCTGCAGTGGCAAAATCACCAGGTCCGCGCAGTGGCAAAATCACCAGATCCCTGCAGTGGCAAAATCACTAGGCCCTGCACTGGTATAATCACCAGGTCCCTGCAGTGACAAAATCACCAGGTCCGAGCAGTGGCAAAATCACCAGGTCTCTGCAGTGACAAAATCACCAGGTCCCTGCAGTAGCAAAATGACCAGGTCTTTGCAGTGGCAAAATCACCAGGTCCCTGCAGTAGCAAAATCACCAGGTCCCAGCAGTAACAAAATCACCAGGTCCCTGCAGTGGCAAAATCACCAGGTCCGCGCAGTGCCAAAATCACCAGATCCCTGCAGTGGCAAAATCACTAGGTCCCTGCAGTGGCAAAATCACCAGATCCCTGCAGTGGCAAAATCACTAGGTCCTGCAGTGGTAAAATCACCAGGTCCCTGCAGTGGCAAAATCACCGTGCCCCGCAGAGGCAAAATCACTAGGTCCCTGCAGTGGCGAAATCAACATGCCCCTGCAGTGGCAAAATCAGTCTATGCAGTGGCAAAATCGGCAGGTACCGGCAGTGGCAAAATCACTAGGCCCTGCAGTGGTAAAATCACCAGGTCTCTGCAGTGACAAAATCACCAGGCCCGAGCAGTGGCAAAATCACCAGGTCTCTGCAGTGACAAAATCACCAGGTCCCTGCAGTGGCAAAATCACCAGGTCCGCGCAGTGGCAAAATCACCAGATCCCTGCAGTGGCAAAATCACTAGGTCCCTGCAGTGGCAAAATCACCCTGCCCCTGCAGTGGCAAAATCAGTCTATGCAGTGGCGAAATCGGCAGGTACCGGCAGTGGCAAAATCACTAGGCCCTGCAGTGGTAAAATCACCAGGTCCATGCAGTGACTAAACTATTTAAAATATCTAATACAACAGATGTGATTTTCAACGGTTTTTATAGAAATGTTTTATGATGATTTCACAGTAGTATAAGCTGACTGTGGCAGTTATACCAAACGAAATAACATCTTCAGGATATCAAAAATTATAAAATGTCAACTTTACACAAGTATTTGTAAATAAAGTACTTCTTTTTCGCATATTGCAATGCTCATTTTTATCAGTCCGAGCCCAGCGGTCCGCTACAAGCGTCACAAAACAACAAACTGACTGACGTATATGTACATTTCATTGTAGCCGGTCCAGCTACGATTGGGGCTCAATCCCACGGCTCCCCATCTCCTAAAGGGACCAAGGGGGTACAAAGGGGAGGCAGAGACCCGGCATGCCTCGCCAGTAATATCCGCATTCCTCAGCCTGGAATCCCGGAACGTCCTGACAACGTAGAGACGATATTGCAGATGCCTGGTCGTCGTAGTTTGATAACGACTGCTGTTCCCCATTCCCCTCTTTCCTCCCTTACGTCTCCCGCACCCTTTTACCATCCCATTTTGCTTCTAGGTACGGTCGGACGACCCTACTTCCCCGTTACATTAGGGAGGTTGTCGTCGAAGAAGGAATGCTATCTTAAAATAACGTTTAGGGTGGATATTTATGAGGCTGTTTTTAGATACGTAGACGGAAATAATACTTGTGAGGTGCAATTATAAGAAAAACTAAGTGGCTGTGATGAAAAAGTAAAGTTTTACAGAAATATAAAATACAAGGTAACCAAACCATTGCTTTACTTCAGTTTGCTGGTCGCTGTTGTTTAGGTATATATTCTTTCACTCTATATCTAACATTAAACGTTTTTGAAAAAAAAAAACGTATATTTAAAATTTTTGGACGAAAATAACTGCTTGTCAAATATACAGGGTGTTTCAAAACAAATGCGAAAAACTTCAGGTGGTGATTCCTTGTTCAAAATAAAGGGTAGTTTGCTTCATAAACGTTGGGTCAAAAGTCAACCATTAGGGAGATATCGCGGTACAAAGATGGCGGAAAAATAATGTTCTTATTTTTTTATCTTGAAAACGAAAAGAGATAGACTAATGAAATTTTATGGAAGGATTACTGTTATGAAAACACACTTTCTGGTAATTTTTTCACTTTTTTAAAATGAGTGGAAGGGGTTGAAATAAACTACCCAATTACATGTCAGGACTAAAAATATTTTTAGATTAAGAATCTAGTGATAATAAT